AGAAGGACTTGGCTTCACTTGGCGTTTCCAATTGGCGTCAGTTGGCACAGAGGAGAAACGACTGGCGTGCTTTGCTGAACTCGGCCAAAATCGCTTAGGCGGTTACAGCGCCAAAAAAGAAGAAGAAGAAGCATTCCAAGGCTCCCTCATAAAAAAATACTATTATTCACTTCTTCTTTCCTGTCATTTTTTCCAGATCCTTCCTGGCTTTGCCTACCCGAGCATAAGCAATTTTGGCTACGCTGCGGATTAGGGTTTCCTGCCAATTGAGGTCTATTAGAAGTTTCGACGTTATCAATTTCCATCGGTTCCACTTGATTTTGTCTAGGTTGATTCTGACGGTATTGACCGGAATTTTGTTTAGGGTTTCCAGTCGTTTGTTGTCGTTGGAAATTACCTGAATTCATCTGCCTATTATTGTTATTATATCTTCCGCTAAAATTCTGCTTAGATTGCCCTGACACATTATATCTAGCATCATTTTGATTCCCTTGATTGTTTGCACCTTGTCCCGTGCTTTGATTCTTATCAAAATTTGTGTTGTATTTCTGACCTCTATCGGAATACTTATTATTCCACTTATCTGTTGAATTGTCTCCCTTTGTTTTAAATTTCCTATACTTCCTAGTTTTACACGATTAATAAGAAGACAACAATTTGGTTTGGGCTCTCGAATCAGACTGAATTAAATTATTTATTCAATTTAAAATGAAGCTTATATTCTAGTTACAATATTTGCTTACTAATTACTTTTGGCATATGAATTTAATAAAACTGCTTGCTAATCAATTTGTTCCATGTGAACTAAATAAAACTGCTTGCTAATCAATATGTTCCCCAATTTACTAATTCTCGGAAATTGGGTGTCTTTTTGATTTTCAGTTTCTCTTTTTGTGTACAACTTTTGCAATATGCCGGAAATGGTTTTATGTTTCAACTTTATTAATTTGCTTCAAGAATTCTTCATACTTATCAATTGCACCGTCAGGTGTTTTTGTGTAGCTGTTAATATATGTAACTCGCGTGCTTGCAATTTGCCCGCGACGTCGACTGCGTGCACCTATGCTGTGCATCCCTAGTTTACTACATGTAAAGTATGTTTAATGCAAAAATCAGTAAAAGTCCAAAAATTGTACCTAAAGTAGAAACAGTGTTAGAAGTGACACCGGTAATATTAATTATATCGTTCGTATCTATAGAAAAATGTTTATCAATGCTAGAATTTTTAATTAGAGAAATGTCGGCTTGCGCGTCGACTAAAAACGTACAAAATTTGTTTGACCTATTAATTTCCCATTCGATAAATTCGGAGTAATTCAAATTTAAGCAATAAATGCCCTTTTTCGGAAAAGATTTATTTAATTGTCCAATTCTTCCAGTGTTCGCTCCTGAGGGGCGTGGGCGTTTAAAGCGCGCACACTAACATTATGCCGTGAATTTGGACGTCTATTACTATTATTGTTGCTGTTATTGTTCCGTTATTCGATGACCGATAGCCATTATTATTGAAATTATTGCCATGATGCTTTGCACCGTTATTGTTGTACCTACTGTTATTACCGTTATTATTGTACCTATAGAAATTAGAGTTATTTTGTCTGAAATTATTATTGTTGTACCTATTAAAATTTTGACTTCTGAAACTACCTCTAAAACTATTTGGCCTATTTACTCGGGATCGAAACGCTAATACTTGACGCTCTTTCACTTGATTATTTTGTTCGACTATCATTTTTGCCACTACGTCTTTCGAATCACTGAATGTAGTTCCCGATAAAATTGATTTGACCAAATCCGACCGAGTATTAAGTCTACAAACGTTAACTGTTTGCTCGATTGCCATTTCATGGGCCTTAGATTGTGTCATACCTTCAATGATCAAAGAACGCTCTAATGCATCCGAAAGCTCCTCGACACGCTTAGCAATTGTTGTTGATGACATGTAAAGATGTAATTTTCCCAGCTACAACCTTCGAGTTGTCTGGCTTTATTCTGTTTCTCAACGCATCTTTGATTTGTCGAACTGAATTGACCTCGGTTGGAATTGCTTCACGTGCCTTGCCATCGAGTTTCGATTTCAAAAATGATATAAAAGTTGTATTTAAGTTTTCGTATCTATAAACGATTCAAGTGCTCTCCGTTGTTGTTGTTGTTGTAGCAGCATACAAATTCCTCAAAGACTTTTTGGGGAGTGTTGCTGGAGTGACAGTCCTTTGCCAGATATAAATCTGGGTCGTTCCGGTTACGTAGACCCGACTGTCGTGGGAACGTGCTCTCCGTTGTACAGCATTGCGACGAATAACTGTTACCCAGGTTTTTTTGAGAAATAAAAGAGTCCTTTATAGATTTTGCGAAAAAAGTATTTTATTGTTAATTTTCCACAGTTTTTACTATAGTTGTATTAGTTAGTTTTTAAATTGTAATCCTTATCTACATTTTCCAGCAGTGTAAACTTTGAGAAAAAAGTTCATTTGGCTGAACTAGTGCAAAACGTCTAAAGAGCGGGACAGTTGAAACT